ACGCGTGAAGACCTCATCTAGTAAAATGCCGGTCATGTTATCTCTATCTCAATAACCCAAAGGCTTTCCAGGGAATAGCGAATTTGCTATTCAAAAAGCAAGATTGATTTTCCTTAGACCCTTTCTCTGGCCTTTCATAGGGATTATTTTATTGGTTTTTTGTAACCTTTGTTATGAGCTTAGGGTACTTTATAGTACAAGTTTGCTGGTAGTAGTTTTCGCTTAATCTAAAGGCTCTGGATGCTCCGGTTCGAACTCCAGCAGGACCAATTAAATAAACTTTTCTAAACTGGTCCTTGTCTTCGTAGAGCCATACTATATGCTGGTGAAATTACAGGCACATGGGACTTGTCAACCTATGTATCAGAATGACAGGCGCAGCGGCTGTGCCCCTAAGGTCTTTGCGATTTAAAGCTCTGAGTGGCACTGCAACTGTTATGCACAGGCATGTAGCTTACCAACAGGTGCATGACTTGTTCGTCCCATCACCTAATATCATAAAAATAGACCTATTTCTGCCCCTAAGCTTTAATGAGAGCATTACTGCGTTCCGGTTCCGAAGGCTGTTAAAACTACAGGCACCTGGAATTTGTCCACTTTGTGACATAGGATGATTCAAGTTTTTGCCATGTCCCATTGATACAAGTTGACAAATCTCATGTAACGAAGATTATACAAGATGATTTTTCGTTTTGGTACCTACCTATTTAATAAATTATAATGAAAATAAATTTTCATAAACGTTAAAACGTTGAAGTGTTTTAAAAAAGCGTGCTTTTTTTTTAAACGCTTTTTAGTTTGAACCTTACGAAATCGTTTAGAGAAACATTTAAGCGCATTTACTTTTGTGTTAAAAAAAGCTTGCAACGTTGTGTTGGTAGCGAAAAGCAGATTAAACCAGACTAAAGGTTTTAAGTTAGTAAATTTATTTGTGAAACACGAGTTTTATTTTTAATTAAAAAAATATTATTCACATTGATGAATTAATTTGTTTAGGAAACATAGATGGCGGGACTTAAAACTTAAGCTCGTTGTTAACGCTTACGCCTAAATTGAAAAGTGTGCTTATGTGCTTGTTTTAAAAAGCAAATTTTTTACGTGCTGTTCTTTTGAACCTCTAATAGTCAGTGCCGCCATGTTGTGCGGGCATTCTGTTTTAACATCAATGTGCGGCGCACCTCGTATTCGATGAATCGGTAAAGTCCCGCGTAATCCACTGACTTAGTGTTTATTTGAGATTAGTAATGAACGAAGACGAGATTATCCAATTAGTGTTACTGTGATTTTTAGATTTAGATGCAACAAACTGTTCTTTGTGAATTAAACAAATTCGATTAAGACACCGGTTCAGGATTCTTCGCTATTTTACAATAAGATTCCGGAGCATATATTAAGTTTATCATTTCCTAAGTTTAAAAACCACATTAAAAATATTTTGATCGAAAAATCATATTACAAAATTGAAGACTACGTGTTAGATAAAGATGTATGGAAAGACGACATCGCTCCAGAATCCACACAAATTTGATTCAAAGTGTATTCCATAGCATTTAAGTTTATTTGAAAAGAGCAATCCCTAGAGTTTCTTGCTCGTTCTTCTCAGGGCGGTCAGCGTAGTGCACGAGCAGTAGCTTAAATGTGACGTTTTCAAGTGTAAATTTATTTTACCTATGGAATAAATAATCTTTGACTTTGACTTTGACTTAACCCAATCGTTTGATGGGATGTCGTTCTCGAATTGAAGGGCGCTTTCCGTTGATATTCAAAACATTCCGAGTTAAACGTTCGATTCGGATTCGGATATGGGGGTCTATTCTCGATCTCCGTGCGACATCCGTCCGAAGCAATTACTGCCAAATAAGCAATACTTGACCAAATGAAAAGACGCGTGATGCGAATGAAGCTTCATACTTGATACTTGTCTTTTAATTTTGTCGAATATTACTTATTTGACAGCATTGACTTACAATTATATGGACGTCGGGTCCGCGCTAAAAAGTGTCCGCACTTGTAAGGCGCTAAAATCGTATACAGAGCGCCAAACTCCGCTTTAGTCTCATGTTCATTTGTTCTACTGACAGCGCGATACTGCGATGACATTACAATTTAAATTTCGAATAGGTTGACTTGGGACATTTTTTTCGTGGTTTTTGTATTAGACCCGTCGTCCATTTATTTGTAAGTCAATGTTTGACAGTAATTGTTTCGGACGGATGTCGGACGTAGATTGAGCGTAGCCCCCGTGATATAGTTTTCCAATAACGTTTACGGAGTTAGTCGGTAAAATAGATTATGAGAAAAATGACTTTCATCCCTTGGAGTGGGTACTGGTGTGGGACGAGTCTCATGTGGCGACATGTGCCGACTCGCTTGCCCCATCCCATCTCCAGCACACCAGCAAGAGGGCAGTAGTAAGTACCAGGATCTCGGCTCCGACTACCTATTTACAGACTTTGGAGTCAAAACCCTTGGCCCGTGGGGTCCTGGTGCCCTTCATTTGTACAAAATTTTATCGAAAAAATTTATTGACTGTCTAACCCAAGGCCTGGCAGCTTCCTTGCCCAACGCATTAGCATAGCAATACAAAGGGGGAACGCTGCCAGCAACTTGAGCACCATGCCGAGGGGTCCCAATTTTATTCATATGATTTAAAAATACTAGTTCTATTTTCTAGTCTTTAGAAAAATGAAAATCCTTTTATACACATTTTTAAGTCCTAAATTACAGAAATGGATTAGTCTCGCATTAAAATAAATTAATAAAATTGAACAAAATCCTAAATAAATAAATCGTGTAGGTAACTAGATATATACGATGTATAAGTGAGAGGTATATAAAAATCTCAGTAAAAACTTCCCCAGCCCTTTTCGGGGTCAGCTATAACATGCGACCCCTATAATATGATCCCTAGTAATCCATGGGCTGCCGAGCGAATGGAAAATTTGGTATTTATAAGGCTATATTGATTTTGTTCAACGCTGTTATTGCTTTCATTGGAATTATTTTATAAACAATGTTATACGATACGTAATAATGCCATTTTGATAAATAAACGAGATATGTACAGGGATTCTGATGACGTCACTTGAACTCGATGCAGTCTATTTTCAGACACGCGCGCGATTCAAACGCACGATTGTATCGCTGTACTTGGGATTTATAGGCGGTTACATTCCCCGTGTGTAACCACTCTAAGGCGGTACCATTTTTGTTTTGTGTTATCAAGTGACGGGACGAACAACTCGTGTGCCGGGTGGTAACTGACACGCCTGCCCATAACAGTGGCACTACCACCAGAGCTTTATATCATGAAGATCTGAAGGGGGCCACCGCGTCTGTTACCCTGAGACATAAGTTGACAAATGCCTGTAATTTCACCAGCACCCTTACCCGTCAAAACCGGAATGCAGTAAGCTCACATTACATCTTGGCGAAACAAAATAGTTAAGGTCATGATTATCAAAATGACCATCAATTGGACATCATTAAAAAGCAGTTTTATTGAAATTGGCTCACGGAAAATTGGTGAAATGTAAGAGATCGTGAAACGCGCCATTCCATCGCTACACTTGCGATTTGTACATGGATACAAATGCTTTTAAATCACAAGTGTAGCGATGCATTCGCGCGTTTGCGTCGCTATTGGAAGTCGGTGTGTGTAACCGCTCTAATAGACAGGATTCATCCCCTATTTTGCCACCCTTAGAGGTGGAATGTTTTCTTCAAATTTTAACGGCCTTTCTTACAAAAAAAAAACACATTCGAATTGAGAACCTCTTACAAATGATAATAATATATTTATTTATACAGAAATATTTGTAGACAATAAAGAATCCACCATGGCCCCTGGTATAGCGAACAGGCTGGTGAACAGTCCAGCATCGTCGCTCCTCCTCCCAGAGTCCATGCTCCTTCTTCCGTTCTTCTTTGGGCTGTCAGACGCGTCAGTTGTTGTTGATGGAGTTGTTGTTGGTGTTGTAGTTGTTGTTGGTGCTGTGGTAGTGGTTTTTTCATCTGGTGCTGGAGTTACGGCATCTGTAATTATGAACACAGATTACTATATGGAGGTAGGTATTGTAGTGTAGTTGTATGTGGATTGTGCTCTGTGTGTAATACTACAGGTCTACTACTGAGTCAGTTTCTGAGGTAGTTCCGCGGTGAGGGGGGAGTTACAGTTATGTCAGTAGCAGAGTGCTGTCCGACATTTGTTTTATAGTGTGGCAGATTGAAAGATTTTCGATATGACAATTGACTACCTGGACGTAGCATTAGCAGTAGAGCACCTTGTGAAAGAATTCGTCCAGGGAAGTACTGCTACCTTGTCCATTTCTGCCGCCAAACACTAATGTGGGCATTGCTGCGTGAAATGTGCCTGTACATGGGACTTGTCAACTTATGTCTCAGGGTTACCGGTCTTGTACTTTGTAAAAAAAATACTAAATGACGGTACGAACAAATTGTGCGTACATAACAGTTGCAGTGTTACTCACAAAGGTCTGAGTGGCCACCGCGCCTGTCACCCTGAGACATAAGTTGACAAGTCCTAAAGTTAAGTAATTTCACTAGCATCCTTAGATGTGTCAGTTCCGGTGCGATCCGAAGCCGAGAAATGACAGTCCGAAATGTCTTAAGGATCATTTTATCTGTAGGTGTACAAGCGATATTCGATATGGGTCAGAATTTTCTAGATTTGTTTCTTCAAAGACGAATCCTCTAAGGTTACCTATGAGTAGTCCGAAATGACATTACTTAACTTAACCTAACCTAATCGTATCTGCGATAAACATTCAACATATCCTGAAAGAACAACTGTTTCGTTATAATTCGGTTTTCGGTGTAATGATAATTCGAACAAACGTTATTTCGGACAAAAATATTTTCGACTTTGTGATAGGTTACCGTCCTCAAAAATATTGTTCCTGCATTTTCGAGGTAAAAGGTTCGCTGACTGGGCATAATCTTACAATCCCGTTGAATTTCGCATTTAGGATTAATTTATATAATTATCGTAATATATAATAATAGTAAATATAATAAGTAGTAATAACTCGTAATTTTATACGGTTTTTGATGACGTCGAGCTCTACGGTCTTACTGAAAATCGGCGCTGTGTTAGGCAACTGCAGCATATGCGATAAATTCAAAGTCAAATAATGTTCACTTCATAAGTAAGTTAAATTAAACTTGAAAGCGTCATACAGATTTAACTCTACTGCTGATTCGTAAGGCCGAATCACCTGAGTAGAATGAGCAAGAAACTCTAGGGATTGCTCTTTGTAAATATACATTTGAATACATTTATCATTACAATATTTAATTTCAACATTTTAGATTGGGAATACCTGAAAGAGCTGATCAAGTCACTACCACGGATTTTTGTCATCCAAGTACGCAGAAGTTGTATAATAAGTATAATGTTTTTGTTTCACTATAGTTTTAAATCTCGTAAATGGCAAATTTTGAATATCAATCGGAATCTTATTATGAAAGTGTATACGTTGCCCCTTAAATTATTTTGTGAAGACGACTATCAAGAACAGCTACTTTATTTTTATTCCTCGTATTAATGTTATGCCTATCACTATTTTTCATAAAAATAAATCATAAATGTACTGTGACGTTAGTGCAAGAATGTTAATCTCTTTAAACTTATCTCTCATACCCGCACGTTTCTGCAGAGCAAAGATTCTATTGTTATCGGCGGCATTGCCCCAAAGCAAAATGCCGTATGTCATTAAACTGTGAAAGTAGCTGAAGTTACCCAATCTAGCTGTTTCCTGTCCTGTGTTGGCATGACGCAGTAATACTATCTACTTTGTGGACTATAGTATCTACTTTGTATCTTTGTTTTAATTTTAATCGTTATTGTATGTCTAATCATTTATTCCCAGGCTTTGCAGACTGTATAACCAGCATAGCGGGTCTAGTCACATATTTTCCGACTCTTTGTACAGATTTCGCAGATCAATTTTATCCAAACTGTAACTTAATAATTTTATCTTTACTGTTGATATATATTGTATTGTTGTATATTGGAATTGACATTGGTGGTCACTGCTTTTGTTGTCTTTTTTGAAATTTTTATTATTCTCTTTGTTTTATATTTTCATCCCGTTTAGTTAAGAACTCATATTATTTCATACTTAAGTTTGTTTATGCATGCTGTGTTCACTTTTAATTAGTTATACAATTAGTTAAGATATTTCAAGAATGTAATCAATGTATGGAGGTATTGTTGTTATAACTGTAAGTGAATCTAAATAAATAAATAAAAAATAAATAATTGATTGTAGATTACCCTGAAGTTCTGTTTTTGTGTCAAATGGGAAGTAAATTTTTTCGGTAATATTTTGTAAAAGGTTTCGACTCCAAAGGCTGTAAATAGATAATCGGAGCCGAGACCCTGGTACTTATTATTTTTTATTCTTTCCGCCAGCTCAGCTGCGGAGCCAGCCCTCTTGCTGGTGTGCTGGAGACGGGATGGGGCAAATGTGTCGACAGCATTCTCTTTTATATAGTCACTGTTGTATTGCAACGGTATCAGATTAAAATTTGATAATATTTTTGGGCTCTCTTGCCTCAACAAGGAATATGTGTGCAAAGCACTTCGTGGTTTGCACTGGCATTGTCACTTTTATGGACAGGCGTATAGCTTACCACTTCTTCGTCCCCTCACTGGGTATTTATTACAAAAAAAAGAAATGTAACATAGAATTTGTTCCGCGTGCTGACTTTGATTCAAATAGAAATCGACCCGATCGGGTAGTCTCGAAATGAGACGGGTTTCTGAGCGAGAAGATGAACCTGATTCCTACTATATCTTTCCAATAGATAGATATATGTGTGTGGCACTATCACTGCGCCTGTCACCCTGAGACATAAGTTGGCAAGTCCCATGTACCTGTAATTTCACCAGCACCTTGTCTTTCAACACCGAAACGCAGTAATAAGCACATAGGAAAATTCCTAAAGTCAGCTGGTTTGTTCCGTAGTTCAGTTGGGAAAGCGTCAGCCACGATATACTGAAGGCGCTGGTTGGAATCCAGCCGGATCGAATTTTTCTTAGTATTAATAATTTCAGTTTCAAATTTAAATTATATCGGTTGTGGAACAGGCGAGTACATCCGTTCGAAGATCGCACAACTTGAATGGATGCCAAGAAAGCTTCGGTAAGTTTCCCAACTTCAATAAGATCAATCATCCACCAACCAACATCTCATTAATTTCTACCAACCACCATGTTAGATTATTTGTAACGGATGTGACGGTGCCAACTTCCTTTATCGTCATCCCACGTTTTTATCAACCTCTACTGGTATCGTGGTTACGTGGTTATTTTAGTAGCACTAGAGTTCCACCTTACCATTACTGCGTTCCGGTTTTGAGGGGTAAGAGCGCTTGCGCACTACGTCCGCTTCGTATCGAAGGCTGATTGATTTTGATTCAAATAGGAATCGACCCGATCGGGTAGTCTCGAAATCAGACGGGTTTCTGAGCGAGAAGATGAACCTGATTCCTACTATATCTCTCTAATTTGTGAGTTAAATCAAGTATTGTCGATTAGAAATGTTAAAAATTTCCTATCGGCCAGTTGTGAATAGCAAATTATGCGCCTCGACTCGGAAAAGAGAGGTACTCAAAATCAGGCTGCTGGAATCACTTAATAAGGGAGTTATCGGATTCAACTCAGCTAAAGGTGCATACGGGCCTATAATTTGCAATGTGCCTCACTGTTAATCGGTTGCGAACAACTGGCGTAACAATCGCTTTGGTACGGCACGCAATACGCTGGTACTGGCACGTTGCAATAATAGTTTGGTCTGGAGTTTGCCAGGTGACCTGGAAAGTAAACAACAGTTAAATAATGCAGTTAAACAAATTATAGCTTTTTTATAAAATCAAGATAGGGTAGAAAGAGTTCAAAAGAAGTTTTTAAAATCCTTTGACTGTCGCTCGGTTTTTTGCTATACTGACTGCGATAGTTTAAAAAGATATAATGTTCAGTTGCTAATTTCTAGACGTCATTTCTTAGATAGTATATTTTTATAGAACTTTTGGAGAAAATCTCGTTTAATGTACCTCGTTCAAAAAGGACTTTTTATGTTTCAAATTATCGAACAAATTATGTAAAAAATACCTTTCTCGTGTAGTTTTTATGATAAGTGTCTTTATGACGTTGATATGTTTGTAAATTCTTTAAATACATTTAAGAAAAAAGTTGACGAACTGACATTCTAGAGTTTTTGTTTGCGCAGGATTCTTCACGATAATTTCGTTCACCGAAAAGCTTTTGCACCATTTTTGTACATAAATTCTGATAAACTCAGAGGCGCAATCCCGGATCGCACCATTTTGTGCTTGAGGGGCGCTAAGTCAAAGGATTAGGCTACCACAGTAATTTTAGAAGTCGACACTGCTTCAGCTGGAATTTTTTTTCCATACTAATACGGTTCATTTGGGTCGAACGGAAAGGACACTGGCTTTATTTCAGAATTGATTTAAAAAAAATAAAACATTGGTGTATGTAAAGTACCTATTGAATACAGTGGTTTTCTTGTAAAACTTCGAGGTAAGTTTGTGGTTTTTTGGAATCGTGCATCGAGTATATAGCCAGAAATAGAGACGAAATGTCATTCCATTCGTTTGAAAACTATTCTGCCATATCATTACTGTGACAACTGCGCTCCGATTGTCCAGCCCGAGTTCGAAACAATTGACGGGTGTCGTCAACTGTTTCACTTCAAATCGACCAGTTAACTTGAGCTTTGCTATAATGGACGAAAATTGCACAATTACATATTTAATATACCGATGAAATGTGATTCCGTTTGTTTTGTAATTAGATATTTTGCTGTTTTTCCCACGCCACCGAATAGAACAGCACGGCATTGTTAGAGATATTATCTTTATTGCAATAAATACAGAATATTTTTTGGAATATACGGAGACGTACACACAGGTCAGTAGTTGGCCTGTCTATATTTCAGTGCAAACGGGAGTTGATATTTATAAGAGCTGTATCGCTTATGTGTTACCAGGAATATATGGCCCTTATTTCGTCTCTATTTCTGGTTATATACTAGATGGAATCGTGTTTTCACACTGTATAGCAATCCTTAATTTTCCTATATATTATTTCCAAAGTGATTCATTCAACATTTCCACTGTTTTGCGGAATAAAACAAAGCCATTTTAGGTATCGATTCTTAATTATTACATTTTAATAATTATTTTTGTTACATTAGTAATAATATTTATAATTGTAAATTAGTTATACATAAATTGATAAATTAATATAATAAATCAAAGTTTACTTACCAGTTAATATTAAACAGGTTATAAATAAGAAAATCATTATATAAAATGTCTATTGACGAACGGGAGAAAAACGTGAATAAAATTAACCTACCCATCTTATATTGATGTATTATTTATAAAACTATAATGAAAATTTTGGATTGCTTCATTGAATTGTATCAAATTTATTTCATATTTACATTCTGTCAATTTAAAAACACAACTGGAATTATACGTTTATATAACAACGTATGTTTAAGTTTTCTGCATAGCTACCAGGATAATTTGTCACTTTAGTCACTTTAGTTGCAGTAGAGCACCTTGTCAAAGCTCTTTGTAATTCTACCGTCTCTCTGTTAGATTCTTTTTCGTGGAAGCCATGCCAAAGGGAAGTATTTAGAAAAAAGAAATGCCAGACAAACACACCAAATTTCTGGTCTCAAGTTAGGGAATTCCTTGTACTAAGAATACCCGAATTATAATAATTCTGAAGGCGATACCCAGAATACCCAAACCAGAACCAACTTAGAATAAATGTTCGTTTCCTATGTTAGCCCAAATCGGGAATCAACTTCCTCATCAAGCGCCTTTAATACTAACCTCTGAGCCACCGAAGAGTATAAGCACACCCCGCAATCTAAACCCGAACAGGCGCCGTAGGTCAAGCTTGATTTATTAATTTAATAGCAGTAGAGTGCCTTGTGAAAGAGTTCGTCCAGGGAAGTACTGTCATCTTACCTATTACGGTAAGTAGTTAAAGGTGCTGGTGAAAATACAGGCACATGGGACGAGTCAACTTATGTCTCATGGTGACGGGCGCAGTGGCAGTGCCCCTGATCTTTGCGATTTAAAGCTCTGAGAGGCAACTGAATAGAATAGAATACGTTTATTTGCCAGAATACAGTAATTGCAAAGGTCTTAAGTAAAATTAGGTACATTGTATTCAACCTGCAAGCAGATGTGCAAATATTAATGGGATTCAATGTTTCTTTAGTCTCTATAGTTTCTAATTAATGTAATGAATTTGTAAATTCTAAGTATTCTTTATTACTATAGAAGCAATGTGTCAAAAGCCATTTTGTCAATTTTGATTTAAAAGTATGTCCTTGTAACAATTTAATTTCGTTTGGTAATTTATTGTAAATAATTATACACATGTTGAAGCAGTTATTCTTATAAATTACTTTATGGCAACTGCAACTGTTATGGACTGGCGTGTGGCGTACCATCAGTCGTAAGACTTGTTCGTCCCGTCATTTGATATTATAAAAACAAATGACCACAACATTACTTACAAATATTGCCTTTAGCCCGTACCTACTTCTGCCGCCAAACAGCAATTGCTCGCATTAATTTGTTACCGTGTGTGTACAATATGACTTTTCAATTAAAATACCTTTAATGTAAGGTTCAAACTTAGGAAATTATAATTTTAATATATGCTCCGGAATCTTATTGCAAAAACGTTTACAATTCCCCATAAAAGAATCATTTACCTTAGTTATACGAAATCGTGGTACCATGAGTTTGGTCTTTGAACAAGTCACACATTCCGTTGGGCAATATAGTAGCAGTACACCTTCTTGACAAAGAGTTCGTCCAGCGAAGTACTGCCACCTAACCTATTTCTGCCGCCAAGTAGTAATTGCTCACGTTACTGTGTTCTGGTTTTTGAATATTGTTATTATGGCAGAATCTCTGCAGGAGCTCGGCGAGGTTAAACGATTGTTCACAGCGAGTAGGTCTCAAGGATGAACTTGGACAAACGACAGAGTCATTGATTTTTTTTTGTTTATTTATGTGTAATATTTTTTTTTTGTAAATTGGCACACTACGTCTCCCGCTCGGATTATCTGCTCTGCCTCAAAGATTGCCTCGAAGAGATCGCTCTTAGCGTTGAGACCGTCTTTGCCCATATTTGTTTTAAGTTGTTTATGTACTGTTCTTGTATGAGAGCAACAAAGTATATATGTATCTATCTGTCTATTATTCAAACTATAATTCAATTTAGTATAAATGCGAATGAAACTGTCTCTCTGTTACACTTTCACGCCCAATGTCGATGAATTTTGGTATAAAGATAGACGAGACCTTGGAAAAGGACATAAATTACTTGTTGTCACAAAAGTAAATCCTAAAGGGGGGAGGTTGGGAAAAGAAATTTATATGGAAAACCAATTATTTCTCAAGTAAGTAGTACAGTAGGTTATTTTTTGAATATGCTTTATTACAATATGATTGTTATTTGTAATACATCAATTTGTAAAGTACATTTTTTTGGACTTTTAACATGCTTTGAACTTACGCTATACTTAAATTATAACAAGTCATGTTTCCAGCAAGTTTCGTTGGTTAGGATATTACAAAAGTAGAAAGCTTTTTCTCATCGTATGTTGCGGAACTGCTGGTAAACTCCACCGAATATGTTCTAACATCATTTAATCAGCGTCTTTGTTAAAGTAAAAAAAACACAAAGTAAAATTCTTTCGATCTGACGGTACTCGAACTAGTATCTGTTTTTAAATCCAATACAAACATATAAAGAAATTCGTAAACATAGAAAGATCTGCTGATTCGATTGGTTAAGAATGGTCACCCTGGTATCGCAACAGAAACTAGTTCGAGTAGTAGAACAAATAGTAGAGAATTTTCACAAAGAATATCCGAATATCATTGTACTTAAACGTCATAGTATTCAATTATTTATTTTGTAATACACAAACACATGTAACAAACAAAACAAATATTCGTACGTGACATAATTGAAATAAGTTAGAATAATATAAATTCCCAATATGAGGAAAGTAATGGCAAATTTATTTTATTCATTCTCGAGAGATTCCATTTGTCGTTTTCCCAGAAATGTTTTCCGAAGCCCTTATTTATGTGTAACAAAATTTTCAATCCTCCGCTATCTGTTTGTACGTCGTACTGACGTGATTTTCCCGCAAAGTGTTTTTCGACTTTAAATAATAAATACCTCATTGTTTTCATACAGATCATCTCGACGACCACGAATACCCACACACCGGCACCGCCCATTTCATATTAACTAATTACAGAAAGATTATATAACTCCACGCACCAGCTCTGTTTTCTGACTCGTCTGCGATACCACTGACGAACCTATTCCTGGCCTTCACAGACCACTCGAGGCAGCCTTTAGATTAATTTTTAACATCAATGTTGGCGGTTTCAGCTTTCCTTCCGTTTCATTGCTTACGTCAATATTTAACTCTTTCAAACTCTTTAATTCCGGTGACGTAATAAAAGCTTATTATCCTTCTTGTAATATCCTTAGTAATATTAAATTTGAGATCAATAAACAGAAATCCTTTGTAAATTACATTTCGTAAATATCACGTTTAGGGTGCTATTCTGAAGGCGACAGGGAAATTTTCTATATTTCACAAAATTGCTACAATAGTAAGCGCCTTTGCATACAGCATCCGATTCTTTCCGAATCCGAGACCATAAAAATTCGGACCCACTTCGGATGTCGCTTGTGCACTAAGTCCGATTTTGAGAAAATACAAATATCGCTAGTTCATCTAGAGGCAAAATGATCCCTGTGACATTTCGGATTGTCATTTCTCGGATTCAGAATGCAGCTTGATTTTGATTGCCACTCCCAGTTTGGAAACTGCGTCTTTTTTTGCGCATAATTGCATAATTGCGATTCACAACTGGCCGATCGGAAACTTTTGACATTTCTAATCGGAACAATAGTGGATTTAACTCACAAATTAGAAAGATATAGTAGGAATCAGGTTCATCTTCTCGCTGAGAAACCCATCTCATTTCGAGACTACCCGATTGGATCTATTCTGATTTGAATCAAATTTAGCATGCTCATACGAATCGGATGTAATGCGCAAACGCTCTAACTAATGAGTAAAATAATGATTTTATGTTATGAGAAAACAACTGCTAACAGGTAAACATATCAAATACCACCACTTTTTACATTTTTAAGACAATTACTTTTACAGTTACATCGACTCATCCGTAGAACAAAGATCTATGTGCAAGACTACTTGTTCTCAGGACAAAGTACATTTCGTTCGTTCTTCTTCGCTGTGGATGTCAGATCGACTGTTGTTCGATTTTATATTTCCGAAACGAAATAATATATAAAAATTCTCAAAACACCTTTACACAGGCCTTAATTTGAATAACGAAATTATGTATTTATACTCTTTTCGCTGTATAATCACATCGTACGTTGTTCTTCGGATGAGTCGATATTTACCGGATAAGGCATTAACGGCACCCTGTATACGAAAAGTTCTTTACTGTTTTTCCTTCTATTATAAGAATTTGTGGCTTCGTGTTTCGTTTAAACCGTGATCTCCCCGCTCAGAAGGGTATCAGCAACAGCCCCAGGAAGACCAAGTAGGCTGTGAAACACCTTGTTCTTCCTTGTTGTTCCGCAGTCTGTGGCAGAAGGGGAACCACCTGTGGTAGTCTGGGATTGGTAAGACTGAGTCTGGGGTACGCAAGAAAAAGCCTGGGTAGAGTATGCAGGACAAGGTACGACTTGGAATGGAGATTGAGGACATGGATTTTGCGCTTGACAATTAGATGGTTGCTGGAGAACACAAGGTTGAGGTGTGCCTGGAAAATTTTGTAGTTGATAGGCAGAAACTTGTGATGGGTTTGGTGGCTGTCCTACACAAACAGTAGATTGTTGTGAATTTTGTACACAATTAACTGCTTGTTGTTGACATGATTGGCGTTGATTAGGAGAGATTTGCGGTTGGCAGGGAGGAGATTGCGATTGGCTCGGTGGACATTTAACAATTTGTCCTTGATCAGGGCAAGGTGGCGGTGGACATATTAAACCAGCTTGCTGTTGGTTCTGGGATTGCTGTGGGCAAGGTGAATTTTGAGGCTGACAGTTCGAAGCTTGCTGAGGGCTTGTTGGGCAAGGAATGGGTTGCGGTTGACAATTGCTTGGTTGTGAGGGATTTGGTGACACTGGCACAGGTTGCTGTTGCGGAGGGCAAGGGCCAATTTGTGCTTGGAATGAAGCTGATTGTGATTGAGGTTGCGAAGCGCAGGGGTTAACCTGCTGTTGATACTGAGAAAGTGATGGTGAACAAGGATTAACTTGCGATTGATATTGGGAAAGTAGCGGTGAACAAGGGTTAACCTGCGGTTGACAAGGAACATTCTGCTGTTGATATGCTGTTACTTGTACCGGTTGGGGTTGGTATTGACCAGATTGGGGTTGGTATTGGATAATGTGGAAAGCGGGTTGTTGCTGATATGATTGTGGTGGACAAGGTTGCTGCGAAGAAGGTTGTGGTGCACAAGGTTGTAGTGGAGAAGATTGCGGTGCACAAGGTTGTGGTGCATAAGGCTGTGGTGCATAAGGCTGTGGTGCATAAAGTTGTGGTGCACAAGGCTGTGGTGCATAAGGCTGTGGTGGATAAGGTTGCGACTGGCAAGGTTGCTGGGGGCTGATTGGCACTGGGTAAGATTGCTGTTGGCAAGGGTTAGGGTCTGGACAGGGTAAGGGTGCATTGACCACCTGTTGAGGATCTGTAGAAGTGAAAAAAGATTGTGTTTATAAAATGTGTTCCCTAAACATAGTGTGTGTGATGACGAACGTTTTAAAGAAGGATGGCGAAAGCTGACCCAAAATCAACGAAGTGCCGTTCATGGATTTTGCTAATATAATTTTACGTGTTAGTTTATGTCGATAGTTATTAATATATTTTGGTATATTGTTAGAAGTTGGGAATAAAGAAATTGCAAAATAATATATTTTAGAATAGACGCAAGAACACAACGCAATTGATTGAATTCGACACTAGAATAGGTAACGTTCTTGTATGTAGGTTCGATATTAAGCATGATTAAATGTTTACCTACCTAAAGTATTGGTCATTTTATAGTAAACACATAAAACGTCAGAGCTATAAAATACATAAACAAATAATTAATTAAACAATAATGATATAAAGTAAAAAATAAAACATAAACATACAAAAAAGTGACAAAAATGTTTAGACAATATTCAAATGACATATACGAAAGTTAGCAAAGGAACGTTTTGACGTGAGGCCTCTTGCCAATGTCAATGTCACTTTGAGATTGACAACAGTGTGACCATTTGTGCCATTTGGGCAGATTTAATTTTTATTCATTTTCATTGCGACGGAGAACATGTGAACGTTGTTTTAAATGTGGGAAACTTTAGCAGATTTAGAAATATTCAGCCAGTTCTTTCGTTGTTGTTATCTGCTACTACGAACAAACATCTGAAGTGAAATACAGGATAATGTAATAAACATAACCTATATCAACTTTATAACCCCAGCTTCTACAAGCTGTACTCAATTAGCTTTTTTGATGCTTTGATAATGAATCACAAGTAGTGATATGTCTATTTAATGCACGTCATCAAAAACACTACGTCACAAAATATACGGGATGTCGCCATCCTTCTTTCCAAAGTCTGACCGTTTAAACTAGTTTGCGCTTTAGGTAGTGGTGAGAGGCGTAAGCAATTATTTCTAAATGATTATCACAATTGACAGATTTCCTATGACGCTATGAGTTAGTTTTGTTTTCCCGATATTTCGGAACGGTTATACGATCCATGGTCACGGGTTGACTGCCCAGTGGCAGAAGACAGCTTCAAGAACAGATATGTCAGTCTACCATCTTTCGTTATCAACGACTACCTTCTTAACGATTTCTTGCGACGTTACCATTGTCACTCACTTTTCCCCAAAAAAGATATGCCAGCAACCTCTTAAAACAATATAACTTTAACCTTACATTGACTTTTCGTACCATGACGCGCTTAAAGTAAGCTTATTATAATGTTACAACTATGATGTTTTATTGGCAGCTTTGTGACTATTCATTCACTCAGTTCGTACTGTGACGACTTTAACATTAAAGTAATATTGTTCCTATGTCAAATTTAGCAATCTTACACGGATGCAACGGAAACAATATTATTTTCAGTTTTATTGTCTTAATATTGATTTGTAATGATTAAAAGTTAAGTTTAACTTATTTATTTACATATATCTCTTCAATATTTTGTTTATTTTTTTTATTTAATAGTATATAGGAAATAATTTATCGCTAAATAAAAATACGCGATGTTTATTTCGTAAAATTATGACAGCGCCTTCTACATGCTCCTTGGCGGCACAAACAGTTGACACTAGACTATAATTCCGAATTCACGACGTGACTATCAAGACTCAGCTTGAAAATGCGGAAAAATAATTGAAAACAACGTAATTTTAACAGATTTCATTATTTTGGCAGTTAAAATTCTCTGAATGTAAATAATATTAGGTACTTTAACATTATACTACGATAGGACGATTAGGAACATCAAAAAAGAAAGAGATGGCATTATACAGTTCATATAACGTTATTTCTTTCCTATTTTTAGTAAGGAATAGACAATATTGGGAAATCTTTCGTTCTTTCAGTCACTGTAGCAATAATACATTACTTGGTTGATAACTTTGTCAAGGCACGAATATGATAGATAGATAGATAGATAAACACTTTATTCACTGATATAACACAAATACAGATTAAGCATAAAAGAAAAAACAAAACATGATTGTCATAGCAATGAAACGGCGCTGACTCAGCATATGCCAAAGTTTCCTAAGGCGCTGGTTTTCAGTCAGAACCAACGAGAGGGATTAAATTATTTGAAAGCAAAAATATAACGACTATGAGTAAAATTATACATTGACAATAGTAGTAAACATAGTAAAGTGTAAATAGTGCATCTAAAATAACCTGTTTGATATGTCAGTGCATGAGCGAGTGTGAATATAATTACAGCTGTAGGAGTAAGTTGTGACTGTAAAGAGGTTTTAATGTTGTGTAATGTATTTAGTATTATAATATAATTTTACACGTAATAAGAGTAGATCAAAGCAACAACAAAATTCGATTCTCGACAGACTACGTTAAAGAATAAAAACACACTACACAGATTTTTGAAGTGAGAGTAGGTGTTGCCGGTACAGTGCTTTGAATTTCGGTTTGGAAGTCTCGTTGCGAATAGGTCGTGGAAATTCCAGCACTTTGAGGCCGAGTATTTGAAACTACCCCGAAAAGCTGCAGTTCTATGTTGTAGTACCATAAGAACAAATGATCGGACAGATCATGAAGACCCAAGATATCCACATTAGTTTTTCATAAAGATATTCAGGTGTTCTAGTTAACTATATCGAATAAAAGTCCTGCATACAGGAGATATTGACGAGCCCCGATATTTAGTAGATTTGTAGCGTTGAGATAAGGAATAACGTGAGTATATAAAAAACAAAATCTGGCACATGCATTTTTCACACGCTGCAGAAGTTTGTGTGTTTTAGACAAAAGGGACCATACGACGTGATACAATAGTTGATCTTAGATAATATCGATGCTTCACATAGAGAAATACGCAAATCAACACTGAGAAACGGTCGAATACCGTAGATCACTTTTAACCTATAGGAGCTACTGCGACTAAGTTCAGCTACATGAGTGTCAAATTTAAGATGACCGTCCATAATTATAGCCAAATTTCGGGCCTCCGCTACCTGAGCAATCTTCTCACCATAAATTGAAAGGACTGGCGCATGTGACTGGATGTTTCTCACTTGTTTACAAGATCCTAGAATCAAAAGCTGAGATTTAATTGGATTCAAGACCAAGGCATTGTCCCTGTACCAAATAGCTAAGCGGTGTAGATCCTCATTAATGAGGCTTGTACTTTCGGCGGTTCTATCTGGATCGAAAGACAGCTGTAACTGAACATCATCCGCATAGTGGTGATACTTGCAGTTTTTAATGCAGCCCGTGATATCTGAAGTGTAAAGTACAAATAGCAACGGCCCCAATATAGAGCCTTGCGGCACGCCCCTGTCAACAGCACTCAGATCAGACACTAGCCAAGCACCATTGGATTTCACAATTTTACTTGTTGCGTGCGGTTAGTAAGGTAACTCCTGAACCATTCCAAAGCCGATGAGTCGCAACCGTAGTATTTTAATTTTGAAATAAGTAAAGGAATATTAAGGGACTTGAAGGCTCTGGAAAAGTCCAAAGTACCAGAGCAGTTACCTTGCCCGAATCCTCAGCACTGAGAACTTAGTCTATGACGTCATGTAAGGCAGTATTTGCGCCCCTTCCTGAAACCGGACTGAATCACAGGCAGGATATTGTTTGCCTCTAAGAATTTTGATAACTGCAAGTACACGATATTTTCTAAAATTTTTGAAAGATAGGGCAAAATGCTTATCGGACGTTAATCTTTCACATTTTCTGGACTATTTTTCTTGGGAATGGAAGTTATTATTGCTATTTTCCAAGGTGAGACGAAATTCGAAGTAATAATTGACGAATTAACAATATCAGTAATTACATTAATAATGTAATAATGTAATGTCCGCGCTAATGCCATCCGATCCCGATGCATTGGATTTCAATCCAAGAACAATTCTACCAATGGTGTCTTCATTAACAGGAACAAGTTTAAACGTGGATTCTGAGAATGTGTGATGCTCATAGTATGATATATTTTCTACACTAGGGATGTGGTCTCCTGGTACATTAAGAACGTGTTTATTTATTTGGTTATTTTTGGTTTTGGTTAATATGAGTAATATTATAATAAGCTTACTATAAAACATTTGAAAATGTGTGAAAATTTTTAGGAATTGTGTTTTATAGTAATCAGTGTATACCCTCAATTTTTTCCATAGCGATTGACTCAACACTTTCATTGTTATGCGAAATCAACCAATGTCATTTGAGGTTGTTTAGACTCTTAAATAAGAGTGGAACGAATTGCTGTTGTAGCCAATTATGACATCTATTACATTAAATTACGACGGAGTGACCCCCAATTGGGGAATTTACACTAATCACTATATGTTGATAAAATTATAATTACTTTTCTTCTTTAATTAGAAGAAATTGGTTTCCAATTTACTATTAATTAATATTAATAATAATAATAATAACGCACACACTCAACATAGCCCCGCACTAGGGAAACCCTGTGTCGCGGGTGCCATGGACACACACATAGACAACCACAAATTACACCCAAACTCACGAGAGAAATAAATGTAGGCCATACAAATATTTCTCCCGGCCCGGGAATCGAACCCGGGGACCTCTGCGTGGCAGTCCGGTATGGTAACCGTTCGGCCACGGAGGCAGTTATTAATTGGCACAGATGGGAAACCTTTGTAGAAATTTATAGATTTTATTGAGAGATGTTAATCGGTCCCGCACACAGAACAAAATGCCGGCTCTGACCTTGCACTCTTGCAGCGGTCAACTCGTGTCCCCGTGACTAGTTTACGGACTCGTTTATGTTAATAAAACGCCTGACAAAAATATTGAAGCAAACAATTTGCATCTAGTTTACTTAGATAATTTTAGTTTATTATAAGGAGATTGTTTTATTTATTTTGTTAAGTTTGCGCGTTTATGTAAATTAGGTTTATGTAAATTAAGCATTCAGTAAGTAGGTTGTATGTGTAAATAGATAATTATTGTAAATAGATTATAAATGTAAATAGGTAGATTTATTAATTTGTTAATCCTATAAAGTAGTGTAACGACAACGTTACAATAGAAACGGAAATATTGCTTTTGTTACATATCTACAATGCGTGGATTAGCCTTAAACAATAATATGGTCGCACGATAAAATGTGTGGTCACCTTATTTATGACTATGGTAGAGTGCTATGCGAGGCCTGAGCGGGGCGGGCAGCGGGGCGCGGGAGTTGTATTGCCGCTTTTAGGTCAGGTGACGTCACGAGATCACCAAATGCCCGCCCGCGACCCGCGCGCGCCCCTCCTCTACCTAAGCGCAGTATTACTCAAAATTAGCATCTAA